CTTCACTAAAGTAAAGAGCAAGTAGCCCGCTTTGGATTGAGTGAAACCATAAGCCCATAACGAAGTGGTCAATTTAGCAAATCAATACGATGGAGCTTTTCGTAACCAATAAAGAGACTTCTTTAAGCGACCAGGCCTAGTGGCGAAATGCACAACTTGGGGGCGGGCACATATAAACCTCGTTCTTAGGATCTCCATGTAGGAAAGCATTGTGAACATCCATAAGCTCCATTGTCTAGCAACGGCTACATCAACAGGAGTTCGAACAGTGACGAGCTTTATTCCACCCTTTCTGTCGATTTCCAAGAGCAACAAGACGAGCTTTATTTCATTCATTTCTACCATCAGACTTATGTTTAATCATGTAGACCCACTTAGATCCAATAACCTATTTATTTGGGAGAAGTGGAACTAATGACCAGGTGCAGGTGCCATTAGCCTGTAAGGCATTCATTTTGATTTGCATTGCTGCTTTCCAATGAGGATGTTTAAAAGCTTCTGAGAACAAAGTGGGCTCTTTATCTAGATTAATTTTTGTCAAAAAACATCTATGGGACAAGGTAAAATTATCAAAGGTAACAAATTTGGTTATACAATGAGCAGTACCTGTAACACCCCGACCCGGAATGCATGGACCAGCGGATCGGGTTGTCACCAGATAAGAATTTAAACACAATAATTTTCAAAACAATTTTAAACATTTAATTAAAAGTAATATTTAAAATATCCATCGGAGTTAACAAAATGGTGCGAAAGCTTAAGTACTTAATTCAAAACACAACTTTTGGTACTTGCCCGAAAAACATAATAAATTCAAATGATATATTTAATTAAGTAAACTCTTCAGCCAGCATTCATCCATCTCCTCATCCTCGTTGCACTCCAGGATTGGCTCCATATTCATCATTCATATTACCTACGTGTAACAAGTAAAACAAACTACACGCTCAGCTTTCATGCTGAGTGAGAGGTTCTTACAGTAGAAGTCACACATAGGGTTATTTCAACATACATAATCATTCGTAGTATTCCATGCGCAAGTAGTATCACATACAACATCAAATGATATCAACAATATCAACAATTCACACAACATGTTACTTACCTCGGCTCTTTAGCCGCATAAGTTATCACTACTACAAAAATGCATATATAGACTGGTCCAATTACATCGGTTCTTAACAAATAGATGCAAAAGACTGAAATTCGCATATCGGTTAGACCTCTTCCATCGGTTATTTAAAAAACGATGCAAAATGTCATTTAATTTATTTTAAATTTTTTTTGGGAAGGACCTTTTGATTCGGTTTTTAAAATCTCATAAAACTCTATTCCTACCAAAACTAAAAGATGCGATATGAAAGAAGATAATAACAATAATGATAATAATGATAATAATGATAATAATAATGATGATGATAATAATAATAATAATAAACAACCATAATATGGGGTCCAACAGTTTTTTTATATATTCTAACAGGTTTTCCTCTTCTCGTGTGTGCTTTCTATGGTTATTGCCTTTTGTCTCTCTGCACTTTTCTTTACTATTAGTTTGCTCTTCTTTTACTTTCTTATTTTGTTTGTGCTTTGTGTGCCTTCTTTGTTACTCAAACTGAAGTTTCTTGGAAGCAACTTCTCTACTTTTGAGTAGGGGTAAGGTCCCCCGCCCTTCCTAGACCATATTTTCGCGGGTTGTTGTTGTTGTTGAATACCTTCCCCCCACTGACAATGGTTTCTTGCAGGGCAAAATTCATGAATCGTTTGGCGAACTTTGCAATTTAAGAGTAATTGCCTTGTCATATGTCAATCTTAGTCAGGATATATCACAACTTTTAGAAATTTTCTCAGGATGCATATCAGATGGATTGGAATCGTTAGATTTGAGCAACAATCGAATTTATGGCGAACTGAATGATCAATTAGGACAGTTCAAACACCTCTACTCGCTTGTTTTAAGTGACAACTCCATTTCTGGTGCAATCCCAATGTCCGTAGGAGAGCTGTCCTCCTTGACAGTCTTACGTCTTTTCAATAATAAATTGGAAGGTCCTATCCCGTCATCTTTAAGGAAGCTTTCCAATCTGAGACATCTAGACCTTTCATCTAACAGATTGAATGGTTCTATCCCATCTTCTGTTGGAAAGCTTGTGCATTTGACAAGATTAGAACTTTCTGATAACAATCTGAGTGGTCCTGTCCCCTTCTCATTCGGAGAGCTTTCATCTCTGGTCCTTTTAGATGTTTCTAGCAACAACCTGAGCGGAATGCTCTCCGAAACTCATTTTACAAATCATACAAGTCTCGCCTATTTCGAAGCGCAAGGAAATTCACTGAGTTTGAAAGTTGATCCTAACTGGATCCCTCCATTTCAACTGGAAGTCCTCTATCTCGGATCATGTCAATTAGGACCTCTCTTTCCACTCTGGGTATTTACTCAGAAGAACTTGGGTTACTTAGACATATCCAACTCTGGAATTGAAGGTAACCTTCCTCATAGGTTTTGGAGTTTCGCTTCGCAATTATTAGTGGTGAACATTTCTCACAACCGAATCTGCGGAGAGATGCCAAATTTAACTGAGGCACCATTCAGGGCATCGTTAGACTTCAGCTGGAACAGATTTTCAGGTCCATTGCCTCGTGTATCACACAATATAACAAGACTGGACTTTTCGAGTAATGGATTATCGGGTACGATTTTCCAGTTCCTGTGCGAGCAGAGAGATGGAGCCAAAGGTCTGAAGATACTCAACCTCAGGAGTAACTCATTGTCTGGAGAAATACCTGATTGCTGGACGAGTTGGGGGCTACTTGAGGCCTTGTATCTTGAAAACAATAAATTTATAGGCCATTTCCCCTCTTCCATTGGAAGTTTAAGTAACCTTCAGTCACTGCATCTTCGAAAAAATAACTTCTCGGGTACATTACCTGCATCACTTGGAAATTGTAATCGTTTAGTCTCGCTGGACGTTAGTGAAAACAGATTTTCAGGAAACATCCCATCTTGGATCGGCGAAAGCTTTTCGAGTATGCTTCTTCTCAACCTCCGCTCCAATGAACTCGTTGGTCCTTTACCACGTCAACTTTGTCACTTGGATGCATTACAAATTCTGGACCTAGCTTCGAACAATCTTTCAGGGACCATACCCGGATGTTTTGGTGATTTCTCTGCTATGGTGACTGTGGACTACTCCACTGGAAACGACATTTACGATTTCGTCGATTTCACAGGAGGAATCATGGAGGACACGATACTTATGTACAAAGGTGGAGGGAAAGAGTTTGACAGGACTCTTAACTTGGTGAGGATCATGGACCTCTCTGATAACAATTTCTCGGGAGAAATCCCTGAAGAACTCACTAAACTCAAAGCCTTGCAATCGTTGAACTTGTCGCACAATCGCTTGGCCGGAAACCTTCCTGAGAAGATGGACATCATGAATTCATTAGAAGTCATTGATTTGTCAGCGAACCAACTATCAGGCGGGATCCCGAGCGGGTTTTCAAGACTCAACTTTTTGAGCTACTTGAACCTGTCTGATAACCGCTTGACTGGCCAAATTCCTTCGAGTACTCAACTGCAGAGCTTCAATGCATCTTCATATGCTGGCAATCGCCTCTGCGGACCTCCTCTGTCCCGGTGCTCTGTTCCTGCACCTGATGATGGAACCAGAGGAAATCACGACGACGACGATGATGATGAACATGAACGCGACGTGAAATGGCTTTCAATAAGCATTGCTCTTGGTTTTGTGATGGGTTTCTGTGGTTTTATAGCTCCTCTATGTTTCAGCAGAAGATGGAATCACAGATATAATCTTTTATTGGATCACCTTGTGAACAAGATCTGCTGCTTCCTCAAATCGCTCTGCCCCTCAACTGTGATCGTTGTGCCCTGAATAAACTACTGAAATAACAGTTGCATATGTAATTATTGAATAATACGGAGTAGAATAATAATTGTATTACTTAGCGAATAGCAAAATAATTGGAAAATTATATATAGAAGGATTATAACTAATGATTTTAAACCCGAACCGGAGGTCGACCCGGCGGGGAGGACGGGTCTTTCCGGATTTTTCCGGGTCGACCCGGTTTTTTCCGAGTTTTGGGGGGTTTGGACTGGACCGGTTGTGTGTCTGGGTCGCGGTTCGACCGGTCAGACCGCCCGGTCCGGTCCGGGTTTAATAACAGTGATTATAACCTCAACTAGAAATAGAAATCAATAAGGTCCCGTTTGGTGCACGGAATGCAAACTATGGAATTGGAATTGAGGACTTCAATTCCAATTTTGGTGTTTGATACCACAAAAACTATGTGGATTTGGAATTGTTAGTGTAAAAAATTAATTGCAATTAGTGGAATTCAATTCTATGGAATTAAATCCAATGAAATTTTAATTCCATTTCAATTCCAATTCCGTCAATTCCGTATACCAAACGAACTTTAATAGAAGTCGACTAAAATACAAAGACTACCATAACTAATATTACCATTATTATTATTGATATTATTATTGTCTAACATGGAGTGAATTTATGTTCTACCATAACAAATACTACCCGAATTATTATTGTGTTTTTAGTCTTATTTTATGCAATTTATGTTTCATGTGTATTTACTTGAATGCATTTAATAAAATGCACTTATTTTGTCTAACAACATTAATATAATGTAAACTCTTATTTTGGTATTTTAAATACAAAACTCCTATTTTGATATTTTATTAATTTTTTACTTCTATTTAGAGTGATTTCTTTTCATTACTATGTAATTCTTCTTTTATGTATTAAAATACTCCATTCGTCCTTAAATATATCGTAATTTTTTTCTATCTTCTCTCGATAACTTTTGTTTGTTTATGCGATTTCATTAAGTATTTTATAAAATAAAATATTTTTGCTGCCTCTTAAATTATTTTGTAAAACTTTTAACGTAGTTTTTTAATATGTAATTTTTATATCTTATTGATATTACCAATTTGTAAATAAAATGATTTCAAAAAGTAGAAAATTTTACTTCGTAACTCGCAATTTGTAATCAAATTAAGAGGGACGGAGTAAAAAATATTTACGCCAATTTAGCCAGAGTGATGCTCCAGCTTGGTAATATTTCTGTTCACAATCAAAACAATACTGTACAATTACACCTCCCTTCCCTTTCTTTTTCTTCTTTGATTAATAATAATCGAAGTCTTGAATTTTTAAAATTTCTAAAAAATTAAATTAATAATCAAATTCTTAAAAAATTCAAATGTATTTATATTGTGTACGGTCCACCGTACCTCCGCGGGAACTGCTCCGGCGTCTCTTCGACCAACAGGCCGTTCAACATGAGCAGGGAGTTTCTAGAGCGGCCTCTTTCCTGCGACTTCATGTAGACGACGGGGTCCATGCAGAAGAGGGTGTAGAGGCTAGAGTCTAAGGTGTAAGGCCGCAACAGGTCGCAGCAGTAGTGGCGGCGGGTGCTCAAGCGGTACACCTGGATCGTGTGCCGGCTCACCGCGTCCACCAGGTTGTAGTTCCTCCTCTTCTCCAGGCCCCACCTCCCCGCCTCCATCCCCACCGCGAAGAACGAGTACCCGTCCACGTGGTACGTCTGGATGCTCCGCTCCCGGTTCTCGAACACGATCTCCACGAAGTTGCGGAACGTGGCGTTGGCGACGTTCGCGGCGGATTTGATCTTCTTGAGATCCGACGGAGGCGCGTCGCTCATGACGTCGTACTCGAAGACCTTCTCTGGGATCTGGAAGTACTCCGCGAGCTTCAGGGGGGTCTCGGGGTCGGCGTGGGAGACGCCGTTGAGCGCGTATCGGAGCTTTCCCCCTTCCTGGACCTTTGAGTTTAAGATTCGGATTGTGCGGGTGATGTTGATCTGGCCGTAGTGGTAGGATCCCTGCGGGTTCGGCCGGGCGGCGCTGGCGGTGAGGTTCCACCTGAAGGATCGGAACTGGTTGATTGACCACGCGATGCCTTCCGTGTTTTCCTTGGGAGGGGGCGGAATTTCCGGGGAAGCGGTTACGCCTTTCCCTTCAGCGTAACCGATAACAGCCACCGTGGAGTATTGCTTCTTGAAGAATCTGCTGGTGGCGACCAAGTAGTAATCCTTAGGCTTCTGATCGGCGGTCACAAGAACGGAGAGACACTGGCCGACGTGAAGGTCCAGGGAGTCGTAAATGTTCTGCACCGTATGTGAACCCTCCATCTCCACCAGCTTCATCGTGTGCCCCTGAAACCTGAAGTTCACCGACGTCCTCATCCCCGCATTGCAAAACCTGTACCTGTAAGTCTTTCCGGATTCCATGGTGAAAAGGGGCGCAACGTTATCGCCAACCTTCCCATGCTTCCCATTGATCACAAGGCCATCAGGCCTCGCGATGGACCGACCGCTGTCCAATATCCTCTTCAACGTCTTGTGTCCCTTTGTGTACCAATCACTGAGGAAAACGTCAAACTCCTCCGCGGGGGAGTCGAACGGGACGGGGATGAGAGCGCGGCTATGGACATTGATCGGCCCATACCCTCCGGCCGCACGGTGAAGGCCCGTGGTCGGGAAGTAAAAATAGCTCCCGATCTGGTCCTTCACCTGGAACTTGTAGGTGAAGTTTGTGCCCGGCATGATCGGGCACATTGTCCCCGGAGTGCCATCCACCCACGAGTTCTTCCTCTGCTGGATCCCGCTCCATGTGAAAAGAAGAGGCTCGTCAAGCTCGTTGAACACGTTAACAATGATATTGTTGTTGGACGTGCAATTAACCCTGGGACCCGGGAATTTCCCGTTGATGAGGATACCCTGCTGGGGAATCCCCATCGGGGATATGACGCCGTAGGTGACCTTCCAGGTGTAGAACAAGTAGGGGTCCTCCGCTCTCACGGCGGCGAAACAGAGCAAGAACACCACCACGATCGCGCTGCCCTTCTCCATGATGATGGCTGCCCCCGGTTTTTTATGTTTTTTTATTTCTATATTTTGGCGTTTATTTATACATATACATTTATTTTAAAATTAGGAAAAAAGTAGGAGAGGAGGTGGAGTTTTCTTTCAAGCTTCTTCTCTCCTTTAGCCATGGTGGCTCTGACCTTTTATAAAGTGGTTTTTCAAATAATGCCCTTCCGTTATTTCTATGGCTTTCCTTGTTTCATTTTCCTAGATTCAAGCTCTTTCCCCTCTCCTCTTTTTTAGTTGTTTTTCTCTTTTCTTTGAGCAAAAAAAAACTCTATTGAGTAAATTTCTAAAACAATACTTAATAAATATGTACTCTATATTTTTTTTTGAATTAGCCGCAAATGAACTTATTATTAAGATGGTACTAGTTAATACAGGATAATATTCAGTTTAGTCCTTCAACCAACGACCATCAAAATAACGTAAAAACTTATAATAAATTTTCAAAATGGTCCTTTCTAAATAAATATTTTTCTCAATTTGGTCTAATTTCAAAATAAAAAACTCATTAAGTATGTTAACTTTAAATTTTATAGGATGATCATATAATAAATAAAACTATACATATATTTTAATAAATTTGAAAGTAAATGTTTAAGATCGTTTACAATTATATAGAAAAATATTGTGTAAATAAATTATTTAATACTCTTTTCGTTCCAAAATAAGACTTATATTAACAGAAAATTCTACATTAGTTTCTAGTTATACTTGAAAATAACTTCAGTTACTGCTCTCTTCCATACAAACAAATCAATAAAATAATAAAAAAAGAACTAAATATCTTTATAACAACAACGACAACAAAAATGTATTGCTTATATAAGATGGTTTATATATGTTTCTTATGAGAACATTAGATTTGCTTTAGAATTTATCCTTTTTAGTGTTATTGGCTCAATTACATTGTAGTATCTATTCATTTTAGTATTTTACTTTAATCTAGCATAGTGATATAATGGCATGTTGCCTCTTCTGCAATAATTTCGATGTTTAGATTTAGCATTTCAAAAAGGTTCTCTAAGGCCTTCTCCAATGGGATGCCCAAAAGAGATGCTAGGAGGAGAGAGAATGGGATGTTTGTGGATGCTATTATTGTAGATAGATGCCCAATAAAGATGCTCAATTATAATTAAGAAAATAAAATATAATTATATTTATATGGACCCACTGCATTCATTGAATAAAATGAGGCATCCATATGAGATGCCACTATTGAAAGATTTAGATGTTGAGAGAGGTGCTCAATTGACATTTTAAAAGTAGAGTCCACACTTCAACATCTAGTGAGAGATTCTACCATTGTGGATGCTCTAATGATGATATCGTTTAACTATAACATTTTCGAAGTTACTAACATTTTCGATGATATCCTTTAACTTATTAACTATAAAAGGTTCTTCAATCACACACATCATTTTTAAATTAATTTTATGGATGATTTTACTAAGTTCTGTTGGATTTATCCCCTTAAACATAAATCTGATGCTGTTAAAGTATTCCAAAGTTTTAAAAATTTTCAAATAGATAATGGCCGAGAATATGTGAATCATCAGTTTTGGGGTGTTTTTACAACAATTGGGTGTCCTTCATCATAAGTCTTGTCTGTATACACCTGAACAAAATGGGGTGGCTGCACAGGACTTAAAGGAAACCAAGGCCCAAAAGTGACAACCGCACACGGACACACGTCCCTACTAAGGCCGGATACATCCACTCAGACTCAGGGCGGACCCGGTCAGATCCTCACTCGTATGTCTTCCAACGATAGAGCATGTGCGCTCGGCCGCCAGCAAAGCACTGTGGACCTACAACGGGTGTGGGAGCCTGATTAGAGAAGTGTGAGAAAAATTGAAGGCGTAAGTGATGTAATGATAAAAGAAGATGACTAAGTATATACTTTTTCCATAATTTGTGGTTAAAGAGTATCACTGTTTGACTAAAAAATCAAACTGTGGCAATTTTTAAGAGCGGACGAAGTATGTTAAATTGTTAAAAGAGAGCAAAGTATCAGCTAGGGAAATGCTTGGTTCACAAATACAATGGTCACAAACTTCAAAACTTACTATTTGTGAACTTTCATGCATAAAATTAAATGGTCTAAAATGATTTTAAAATAAAATTTTAAATCATAAATAGTATGTTTGTGAAATTTGTGAGTATTTTGTTTGTGAACATAGCATTGCTCTATTAGTTATATTTCTCATAAGTGAAATTTGCACTAAATAAAACTAAAACATAATGACTTTCCTAATCTAGGATTTAAACATTTTTATTCCCTAAATAGGACTTAATAATGACCTAGTGAGAGAAATAATGTCCAGTAATGGTAAACATTTACTTGAATAATGACTAGTTGATAATGACCAAAAGTCTTACCTTAGAAAATAAAAACATATGGTCCTATATTAGAAAAGTCATTATGTTTTAGTCCTATTTAGGTAAATTTTTCATGTTATAAATCAATGATATTCTTAAACTTTTTCATAAGATAAAGACCCATTTGTCCTCTCTCATAGAAAAGTATTCTAGTAGAAGGCTAGAAGTTGCATAATTTGCCTCAAAAGCTCACGCAACCACAAAATCGGCCGGTTAAGAATCAACACATCGAAATTTAAGTGTCTGTTTGGTATAAGGAATTTGATGGAATTGAATTAAAATTTCATGGGATTCAATTCCATAGAATTAAATTCTGTCAATTTCAAATCATTATTTGCACTATCAATTTCAAATCCACATAATTTTTGTGCTACCAAACACCAGAATTGGAATTGAAATCTCCAATTCCAATTCCATAGTTTGAATTCCATGTACCAAACGGGACCTAAGTTTCTTTTTTATATATTTAAACTCAACTAATCCCATGGAAAACCACACAAAACATTAAAATCATTAAAAAAAATTAGAAGAGAAAAAAAACAACCTAAAAAAAGGAAATGAGAAAGGGCTTGAATCTAGGATACCTAAACAAGGAGAGCCACAGAAATGGCGGGAGGACATTGCTAGAAAAAACATTGTATAAAAGGCGGGAACAGCCATGGCTGAAAGAGCGAGAAGAAGAAAAAAA